TGTCTTGTTCGAATGGCTAGACACTACATTTGGCGACGAGGATTTTGTTTAAAGCCTGAAGTATAAATATATTTGATTATTATGGCGAAAAGCCTAGGAGTAAGTGGAGTGATGCCGTTTGATTGTACTGGCGATATGACGAGTGTAGGACCAAGATGGCGGCGGTGGAAAACAGCATTTCAGTTCTATATTGATGGCAAAGGAATTACTGATCCGAGGCAAAAGAAAGCTTTGTTACTCCATTCAGCAGGAATGGATGTTCAAGAAGTATATTCAACTTTAGAAGAACCGGCTAGTGGGAGTAAAGACGAAACAGATGAGTATGAAAAAGCTATGAAAACTCTAGACTCTCATTTTACACCTCAGATCAATGTGCCGTTTGAGCGACATGAATTTCGACATATGTTCCAAGGGGAATCTGAGACAGTCGATCAATTTGTTATTCGATTGACCCGCCAAAGTGATAATTGTGAATTTGGAGAGTACAAGAAAGAACATATTCGAGATCAGGTCATTGACAAATGTAGATCAACTAAACTTAGAAGGAAGTTGTTAGAAATGGGCAAGACTTTAACATTAGATGATATACAGACAGTTGCAAGGTCGATGGAAGCAAGTGAAATGCAAGCTAGACGAATGGAGAGTGATCGGCGTGGGGAAGTTAACACTATTGGGAGCAGAGGATGGAAAGGGAAAAAGGGCGAGAATATTAACAATAGTAAGCAAGGTCAAAAGTGTTACCGATGTGGTAGAAATGGACATTTTGCTCGAGATAAAAACTGCCCAGCTGTGGGTAAAGCCTGTAAGAAGTGCAACAAAATAGGACATTTTGCTGTTGTTTGTAGGACACAGTCCAACCGAGGAAATGGGCAGCAGAGCAAGCATCCTGGTGTCAAACAAATTTTGACGGCGGCGAAAAGTAAAATTAATGATCAGATCAACGATGATGATGAATATGCTTTTGCAGTGGGGACAAAAGATAAACGTAAGGTGAATGGAAGTGTTTTTGTTGACCTGGTTGTTGGTGGGGTAAATATAAGAAACATAATGATTGATTCGGGTGCGTCCTGTAATGTTGTTGATAAACGGACATGGGAAGACTTGAAAAAGCAAGGCATTAAATGTGAGTCGAGAAAGGAAAGTCGAAAGTTATATCCATATGGGTCAACAGTGCCACTTGATACTCTGGGCGTGTTCAAGTCTAAAGTTCAATGTAATGGTGGACAAGCCGAAGCTGAATTTATTGTCATCGCTGGTACAGGGCAAACTCTTCTTGGGCGAGAGACGGCAGTACAACTGGGTATTTTGAGACTTGGACCACAAGCTAATGTTGTGCTATCTTTAGTGGCAGACCAGTTTCCAGAATGTTTTCAAGGTTTGGGAAAATTAAAGAATTATCAAGCTAAAATTCATATAAACCCTGATGTCAGACCTGTGGCGCAAAGTCCGAGACGAATTCCTTTCAGTCTGAGATCTAAAGTGGAAGCGAAAGTCAATGAACTTCTCGAGTTAGATGTGATTGAAAGGGTGAATGGTCCGACACCATGGGTGAGTCCAGTATGCGTAGTGCCCAAGCCTAATGGTGATGTTAGGTTATGTGTTGATATGAGGAAAGCCAACGAAGCCGTGGTTAGAGAGAGACATCCAATTCCCACAGTGGATGAAATTCTTCAAGATATGAACGAGAGTGCCGTGTTTAGCAAGTTGGATTTAAGATGGGGTTACCATCAGGTTGAACTTGATGAGGATTCTCGAGAGATAACTACTTTTGCTACACATACGGGCCTTTATCGTTATAAAAGGTTGATGTTCGGGATCACGTCAGCACCGGAGTTATACCAGCATATCATCCAGCAGGTGCTTCAAGGATGCAAGGGGGTACACAATATTTCCGATGACATTATTGTCCACGGTCGGAGTTTGGCAGAGCATGACGAGAGATTAAGCAAAGTTTTGGAATGCCTACGAGAGAAGGGACTTACCCTGAATCCAGAAAAGTGTCAGTTTCGAATTTCCCGGATTGTATTTATGGGTCATGTTCTTTCGGAGAAAGGAATTGCTCCTACAGAAGACAAAGTAAAGGCAGTTCTTGAAACAAGGGAACCAACATCTGCATCAGAAGTGAGAAGTTTCTTGGGATTGGTGACCTTCTGTTCTCGGTTTATTCCTGAGCTTGCGACAACAGCTGAGCCATTAAGAAGAGTGACAAGAAAGAATATAACCTTTTTGTGGGGCGAAGAGCAGAAGAGAGCGTTTCAGCAAGTAAAAGAAAAACTAGGAAATGCTGAGACATTGGCTTATTTCGATAAGAATGCTGTTACACAGGTCATAACAGATGCAAGTCCAGTTGGGCTCGGAGCTGTTCTCATTCAGGAACAAAAAGGGAAGTATCGAGTCATCGCCTATGCAAGTAGAAGTCTATCAGACGTAGAGCGTAGGTATTCACAGACGGAAAAGGAAGCGTTAGCCATTGTTTGGGCGTGTGAACGTTTTCATTTATATCTTTATGGGATTTCGTTTGAGGTTTTGACTGATCATAAGCCGCTCGAGGTGATCTATTCGAATCATTCACGACCGTCAGCTAGAATAGAACGATGGGTATTGAGACTTCAACCATATGAGTTTACAGTGAAGTATGTCCCCGGCCCACAAAATATCGCTGATTCATTATCTCGGTTAGTCCAGAATACGAAGGAAACGTCGCGGAATGTTGCTGAAGAGTATGTTCGTAACGTTGCATTGTACGCTGTTCCAATAGCAGTGCCTATCAAGGAAATGGAGAAGGAATCTAGGGATGACGAGGAGTTAACGCAAATCAGACAATGTATTCAAAACGAGGAGTGGAATTCCAGCCCGCCAGCGTATAAAGCGGTACGGACAGAGTTGTGCGTAGTTGGAAACCTAGTGTTACGAGGTGTCAGAATCGTAGTTCCTCGTAAGTTACGAAAGCGAGTTCTTGACCTGGCTCATGAAGGACACCAAGGTATCGTAAAGTCGAAACAGCGATTGCGTTCAAAGGTGTGGTGGCCTGGTATTGATGGGGAAATGGAGCGTAAATGTAAGACGTGTCCTGGATGCCAACTCGTAAGTAGTCCGTGTTTCCCAGAACCATTGAAGAGAACTAAGTTACCTGAGAGACCCTGGCAAATGTTAGCGGTAGATCTTTTGGGACCGTTGCCCTCGGGACATTATTTGTTGGTGCTCGTCGATTATTTTAGTAGATTTGTGGAAGTAGCCATTATGAAGTCAGTGACGTCACAACTGATCGTTCTTGAACTGGAAAAGTTTTTCGCAGTTCATGGTAATCCCGAGTCCCTGAGAACAGACAATGGACCACAATTCATTTCGGAGGAGTTTGGGGCGTTTTTAAAAGAGAATGACATTTTCCATTTAACGTCAACTCCGCTTTGGCCGCAAGCGAACGGTGAAATTGAAAGACAAAATAGATCCTTAATTAAAGCTCTGAAAATTGCCCAAATCGAAAAGAAAGATTGGCAAAGAGAATTGTATAAATTTTTGTTAGCCTATCGAAGTACGCCACACTCTACGACTGGTGTTAGTCCTGCAAAGTTGTTATTTGGGCGAGAAGTCCGAACTAAACTACCAGAGTTGCGTGAAGAAAGCGCGAGACCAGAGTTGGTTGAAGTGCAGGATCGAGACAGTGAGTTGAAACAGAAAGGTGCAGCAACGTAGAAGAGGATGTGCAAAATCAAGAAAATGTACAGGAACAGGAAGCTGAGGAAGAAGCAGAGAGAAGGTCTCAAGAGAACAGTAAGGAAAGTAGTGTAAATATTTCTAATAGACCTAATAGACCTCAGAGGGTATGTCGTGCACCTGAACGGTTTAAGGATTACGTATGTTCATATGTTAGTTATAGTTCTGGATAGTTCGATATTAGTTATGATATTGGTTGTATAAATTAGATAAGTAATGCATGAAGTCAGTGCGATAATTCAATTTAGGTACTTAAGGATATTAAAAAGTTACATGTAGGTATGTAGATAAACTTTTGGAAAAAAACCGTTGGAAAAAAAAACCAGTATATTATTTATTAGTTTTATTACGTAAATATGGACAATTAGAATACTGAGAAAAGAAGGGATTGTGATGTTAATTAGGTATAATTAGATATGCAGGTATAGGTATAATTAGATATGCAATCTTGGATGTATATAAATAAGAGGCATTTTATAATACAACTGCTCAGTGTTTGAATCCGTGTGCATCTGTGTCTTGTTCGAATGGCTAGACACTACAGATGTAACTAACTATTCACTCAGAGACTCTGTGAACAAGCTTGCTGTTCCATTACCCCGCACCAATTATCTTAAAAACAGCTTTAGTTATAGTGATGCGGTCTTGTGGAACAGCCTACCTACTAATATCAGACAAGCAGAATCCTTAAATGAATTTCAAAGATTGTTGAAACGTTATATTCGATAAACACGGCATTCATGGAAAAAAGGTTCATTTGTATTTGTATTATATATTTTAGTGTGTATATATTTATAGTTTAATTGCATGTAGCTACAATTTGTAACCCTGGTGAATCCACCGTGGATAAATAAATTCAGTTCAGTTCATTTTACTCAAGTTTTCATCTCTGATTTTCTGATGAAAATCAATTAAAGCACTTTGATCAACTTCAAACCTTGCCCCTCACCACTCAGTTCCCACACTCCTTTACGCCAAACACTGCCTAATTTTGCTATATTATAATGATGTACTCCTTAAAAGATTATCGCAGGGAGTAATTTCAAAAGAAACTAGATCTGACATCTAGTAGATAAATACAGTCACATACACTTTTCAATCTAATATATTTCGCGCCAAAACACACTTGCGACGACGAAAAATAATAAAAAAAACCAAAACCGAGGCGATTTTTCAACGCCGGAGTTATAAAGATATTTATATATGCACATAATTTGATATATAGTTATTAAATGAATGGACAAAAACTGGAGATACAAAATGTGTAATAAACCACAATCCCTTACCTTCCCATTCAATAGCAAAGCAAAGACATCATTCAATTTGGAACATAGTTAACACAGTGAAAATGAATCCAGATTCTTAAGGAAAAAATCAGAGAAAAATCATGAAAAAATGAAAATATCACATTATTTACTACATGGGGAAGATCATGCATGCATGGAATCCATGTTTGGAGTCAAAAATTGTGCCAGATATCTGTGAATAAAACATGGTTTTAACCAAAGCTGTATGGTCAACAAAGGATGTAGGCAGTATACTTTCAAAAAATTACTTCCTCTTAAATCTAACTTTGATTGCAGTTGTGCATGTGCACTTACTGTTACCCTGTAGCAGCACTTTGGTGACCCTAGGGGGATGATGGAAATCCTTACTGAAAAGTTGGCTTCTGCAACTTCAGGAATTATCATTATATTTTAGCCTCAGAAAATATTTTACACAGCCTTAACTTTTGGTATTAAAAATGCACCTCATACCTTAATTACTATTGATATGAATTTTATTGAAATGAAACCACAGATGTCTTTTATCCTCAATGGTTAAGATAGTCACCAAAAATCCAAACAAGGAATCTAGGTATGCAAATAACACACTTATTGATCTTGCTTAATATCACCTGACTTTAGTACTATATTACATTTTAATCAAACCTCTTGGCATAAAAATTCATACATGTAGAAACTTTACACTAGATAAATTTATGCTTTGTAAACCTAGTTTCCAGTCAACTAAGCCGCAGAAATACCGGGGGCCGGTTGTTCGAAAGAAGTTAAAAATACTCTCATGGTTTTGTGAATGACTGAACCTACATCTTATGCATTTAATATGTGCTTCCATTGACAATTAAACTATTTACATCGAAATATTTCAGCTAAGTTGTTCAATAAATAAATAATTTGATTTTCCATTTTTAACTTATCCACCGTTTAAGCTAAACGCCTTTCGAACAACCGGCCCCAGGTGAATATAAAAATGCAGCCTTAATAATTCCCAGGGGCCTGCAACCTCTTGTTATATATATGAATACTAACAATTTTTCTTGCAATTTGCAATGCAATTCTACTTTTGTGAGATGGGAATTTGGCAATTACAAAACTTTTATGTTTATTACACTCCATGTTCATTTCTTACACTAATTACATTGTGAATACTTGCTGCTAGTCTCTTAAAAGTAGGATTGCATTACAAGTTGCAAGAAAAATTGCACAATGTAACATGGCCTTAAGTGGTTGCAGTTTTTTTATACACCATGTATAGTGGAAGAAAACAGATTGAGTATTTATGAATATTTATAGTGGGGTGCCTTTCTTTTTATACACCTGGTAGAAGCTGTAAAAAGTACCCCTATTGCAATTGAAATGAAGCTGTTGATGGAGTTTGAATGCATGATTAGCGCACTGGTGTGAATGACACATTGTGATTAGGTTGAGGCATTCAAATTAGGAGGAGATTTTTTAGAAAGTCGCGTACTTTTGCACAAAATCGCTCAAACTTAGCATTTTGAATTTACAAGTTTGGTACAGTTTTTGTGTTTAGTTACAGCTGTTTTACTAACTATTGCCATTGGAGAATTTGAAAAGGCGAAAAGCTCCTTGAAATGAAGAAGAACAACAGGTGAGTGTTCGTTAAATTTTTTTTGTATTTTGAATGATATAATTCTCCATGCGTACATTTTTACTAGTGCGAAGGAGTAACACACAGTCACACACAGTGACACACTAATGTATAAACATATTTATTTATGCTGATTTTAGTGGTTTAGAATTAACCTTGTCATAAAATAAAAATCTCAAATGTCAACGTTTTTTCTTCTAGGTCTTCAACACATCTTGGAAAATATGAACAATAGTTTCAGATACCAGTAAACTCGCATTTGTTTTGGTTGCAAATGGTGGATAGTTATGTGTACCACAGCTTGAAGATCAGAAATAAAAAAGACCCTAAATAACCTATTTCAAGAAATAACACAAAGAAAGAGAAAGTCAAACTATTTTGATTTATTTCAAAAACAACTGCCCCCTCTATTTTAACAATGAATTTCATGTGTGGTGGGTACATAATATGGGACATGTAGGACAATTGGTGGGACAATTCATTTCAAAATTATACAGCTGTAAGTATAGGTAATATGAAATTATAATGTGACTTTGTTGTTAAAATATTATGTCAATAATTGCAATAAATAGTGTTTTTGCAATCTTGTGTTGTTTCTACTGTTTTTTAAAGAAAGCCTGCAATAAAAAGTAATAGATATGTCAAATATGTGGCAATGGCAAATTCCTCTATATGAGATTTATCAGCACAAGTCTGGAGTTAACAAGAAAAGGCACGTAGGATTTAGCATCCAGGGCTGATTTGCACAAACTTCCAGATCTGCAACATGTGTTTAACCAGGATAAATAAAACCATATACAATCACCATACAAATATAAGTATACAGTATACCACCTTAACTAGTCAAAATATTGGGCAATTGGAGATTAATGTAAAATTTGGAAGATAATGTGATTAAATGTTATAATAGGTAAGGCCGTTTGCCTTGGCAAATCCCTTTAGGAAGATCTCAGTGTAACTTATAACTAGCAAAATACCTAAAGCACATGACAGTGAACAGTAATAGCAATTTTATATAGGTAACAACTATATACAGTTAAATACTATGTGTTCCGTAATCAATGAAGAGACAGGTTACAGTAGAAACCCATCATATTGTTATACCAAGGTTAATGACTTCCTGGCCATATAAAACCTAAATGGAGAAGTTGAATTAAAAATTAAAAAAATGAAAAATCATCTGATGCGAGTTAAAATACTGTATAACTGCATATACTATAATGAAGATACCATCTCAATAATAGCATCACTTAATTGAATGCCCATGATCGGATAATATATATACATTTAAAAACAACACTGCCAATTACTCCTTTTCTTTCCATCTAAAAAGATAGCATGGAGCCACCTTAACCTTACAAATGCTGATGATTTATGTGGGGGTGGTTATTTAAGAATTTTTAATTGATGACCACCAAATATAGATTTCATGCAGTTCAAACACATGTTCAATAAAAGGTTGCAGAACCTCATATAGCCACCTATGAAAAAGAGATATATTAACTCTGAACATGTTATTTCGGCACACACAATAGCTTATGAGTGTCCCACACATAGTTAAGTAAAAACAACATATTTTCATAACACACATCTGAATCTTTTGGGTGATTTTCATATTTACTAGCAATGTGCCATGATAAAAATTGCGATATTTTTTTATGAAACAATTAATGACTTGAATTTTCTAAATTCCATTTCTATTCCAAGAATATATAGATCATAATTATATGGTGCTTCTTAAAAGCAAACAATGAATTATGCAACTTTATACCAAAATAAAAAGACATACTATTTGTTATAAAAGGTCAACGAAATGGCAGACCTCAGGTCAAAATATTAAAATTAGTGCGAGGACCTCCCACTCCGATTTCCTTCAAAATATGCATATTTACCTATCACTAGCTCAACAGTTCAACAGGAAAATCATATTTTTTCACATCTTTTAACATTTCAACATTTTCGTAGAAATAGAGCAAGTCTCACACAAATGTGTCAATGAAACCTTACTTAAAATCTGACTTTAATATGACTGCCTATACTTTGTCTTGATGTTTACGCATGATTGCGTCCAAAATTTCACAAAATATACAAAGGAATACAACGAATCGTGGCAAGAAAGCAAAATAAATTACTCTCGGGAAATAATGAACAATTGAAGAGACATTAAAATGTAATGACAACCTGATTTTAGAATATCTGCATAATGTGGTCAAACATCGTCACCACAGGGGTACTTTTACCCGCAATAAATGCATTAAATATAAAAATAACCAGCAAAATTAGCCGTACCTGGAAAAGTTCGGTAGCCAAACATCAGTCTTTCTAGGCTCTCTCCCAAAATAGTCGCAGTCGTTTTCGTCCAAAAGTAAGGTATCAGGCTTGCAGATATCCCAGGCTAAACTGAACTTATTACGGACAATTCATTTCTTGTGTTTATCATGAAATCGTAATGCACCCAACTGGAATATTAACGCTGGTACTTCACCGAATCAACTTTTTAACTCCGCCATTCAACCAAAACAACAAATTGCTCCATTTTCGCGCAAGGCATGACGGTATTTTTGAGCGCTAATTACTCGATATTCTTTTAAAGCATTTTACTTTCAAATTTGAATTTTACGCGTCCATGGGTTTAGCATAATAATACGCATTCAAATTATAATAAAAGCTTGATTTCATTACGGGCCACCTTTTTATACAACCTTTAGATTTGTAAACCTTCTTTCTATTTATTATCCTCGTAAATATTATGCCAGCCGAAATATTTTTATGTGTAAACAATAAAAATGCTCAGAGCGCACGACCATCCGCCATATAATGTGCTGTTCACATAAATTGTTCTTAAAAAAATGAATAATTCTTCACGGGTGAGGTTTAAACAGCACTAATATTGTGAAAAAAACTTGTCTTATTCTCAAATCATCAACTAAAGGCAGATGAAAAAGCTCAAAGATGAAATAACACTACAATAGTGCCACAGTAATTTTCCTACGTTGCACATTTCTGATGTCTAATAAAGGCACCTACACCGACAAATACATTGATATTTAAATACAATTTGAACACAGTAAATACCTTTGTTTATTCCTTAATGTTACACTTGAGAGATAAGAATGAAAATAGGAAATTTTTGAAGAACAGCGTGAATAAAATAACCAAGGAATATAGCTGCTGTATCGTCGATTCCGTTTGCGTTTGACGCGTTCGCAAAGCACGTTGGGATGTTTAAAATTACCTGTTTCTAGGGTCAAATGACGTCGTTGCTAAGGGGCGCGGACTTACGGTAGTTGTCTAGTTAAATTTATATAGAATGTGGCGAGTAAACAAGAAAGGTCGTTGTTTTCAAAATGGGAAGGCCCTCTCGCCTAACAGAAGAAGTAGTATTATTGACAAAATCGTATTCAGGGAAGGCAATAAAGATACAGGTGCTTTTATACGGAGTTTCGCTATTAAATATTGCGATTAAATTTGAAGTTTCTAATGCGACAGTATCAAATTTATGGCGCCAATACTGCGAGACTGAGAGCCTTCAACCAAGACATGGAGGGGGAAATAGACGAAGTTTGTTCGTTGGTAACATTCAATTGATCGAAGTTCTAAAAACGCAGAACCCGTCTATTACATATTCAGAAATTATGGAGTGCTTATATGAGTTCGGAAATCTACCAGAAGGCAATACGTCGACAACCTCTCTCTGTAACCGTGTTGTAATGCGGTACGATATAAATTACCGAGTGGACAATTTTCGTTCAAAAAAATCACGACTGTGGTGGCTTAAGAACGTTTCACAATTGCTAACATGGCTTATACGCAGCTTTTCGTGGACTATCTGTGCGGAAAAGATCCGTATACGCTTAAGTATTTTGATGAGTGTGGTATAGGCCCCCAGACTTGCCAACGCATTACTTTGATTACTTTGAGGAAATAATACAGAAAATAGACATGACAAATCATGACT